CTCACGGCTCTGTGCCGCAGGCTCTCAGCGGGGACAAGTGGCTCCAGAAGGATAAAAACTTTTTAAAGCTGAAGGAGTTTCGCAGAAAGTGGAGGAAGACCGGTTTGCCTAGCGAGCGGCGCAGCCGTGGGCACAGGAACCCTCCGAGCTGCGGTTTGGGAAGGGAAAGCAAAGTGAAGGGTTTTTGCTTTAGCGCCTTTTTTTTTTTTTTGATGGTTTTGGTTTTGGTTTTGTTTTGTGCAAAATAACATTTTCACTTGAATATAATGTCAGCTTCAGTTCCAGGCAGGTCTACAATTCAGTTTTTTGTGGCAGTATCAGCTGATGGAGGGAACAGCAAACAGGGCAATGAGACCTGTCTAATCTTGCTGTCTGACCCCAGAATTACATTTTTTTCTCACACAACAAACAGATCATTAATCTTTGCACCCCAAATGCATGATATCACCAGATGATCTGTCACAGAGACACTCATCTCTCTTTGTCTTTCTTCAGGTGGAACAGATTTTCTCTTCCAAAATGACTTTCCGAGTTCTGGTTTTGTGTCTGGCATGTTCTGGGCTTGGAAAGGCAAATGGTAAGTTAAATTGCCTGAAGTCTGCTTGAAAATGGTTGAGGAACTTGTTTCAGATTCCCAAGGCTTCAACAGAATGAGAGACAAAATTAGGTGAAACACAAATTGCTGGTGCTGTTTGACACATGATTCCATTCCGGTTGATTCTATGATTCATAACTGAGGCAGAGACATGGAACTGGAAGATGTGACACAAGACCTCCTGGAGAAGTCTTTAGAGGTGGGAGGGACAAGCAGCATCTCGTATCTACGATGACATTGGTTGTTCCCCTGAGTTCACAGCTTCCGATAGTAGAGCCTCCTCTAAAGAACAAAAAAGAACCTCTGTTTTTCTTTCCCTCCATGTCAAATACGCTGTGAACTCTGAAACTACACAGTCCAGAAATTCTTCTTAAGCCATTTTCCTGTTTACTTCTCTTAAAATGGCTTGGTGTATGCTTGCCTTATGCATTCAATCTTCCTCTAGCTCTTGGGAAACAAAAATTGAGTATTTTCTGAGAATGGCAAGCCATGAGCTGATTTAGTAAAGCTGAAGAAGAGAGTCTGCAGGGATGGCTACAGAAATAGGATGTCTTTTCCTTTTAAATAGTTTAGAAGAAAGCCAAAGCCTCAGGCAATGCAAATCAGAATAACTTCTTTGATTTCTAGGAGGACACAGGAGAAGGACTTGTTGGTGGAGAAAAATCATAGAAACAATGTGTAGTTAGAGGATTTGTTGTGTCTGTGGGTAATCCAGTCCTTAGAGTCAGCATTAGGCTTCTGAATATATGTGATATATGCCCATTTCACTGACTATTTCATACCATTCAAGTGGTTCCACAGGCTGAATCCAGAAATGTGAGAGTGGGCGACAGTGTGACTCTCGGCTGTGTCCTGACACAACCCAAGAATGCTCTGCAAGTGACATGGCAAAAGGACTCTGAAGAATCAGAGAATAATATAGCTACATACAGTAAACTGAAAGGATCAAATATTCACAAGCCTTATCAAGACCGAATGAATTTCACAAGTCTGAAACTCAACGAGACAAGCATCACTTTTTGGGACACTAGAATGGATGATTCAGGGTGTTACAAATGTCTCTTCAATGTTTTCCCTGAGGGCTCCTTGTCGGGACGTACCTGCCTGAATGTCTCTGGTGAGGTTCTCTGCAGGGATACATCTCTAGTGGAATAAAGGGTGCTTTCTCACCCACAGCATTTTCTTGAGCAGATTCAGGAGCTGTAGTGATAGGAACATCCCTTGGTGGAACATGACATAGGACCGGAGCATTACTGCTGTAAGCTAGACTCTGTGGGTCATATTCAAGACTATTGTGGTAGGTTTGGCTCTTGTTTATTATTCCTTGAGTAGCAACTAAAAAGCAAGGAATGGGATCTTTGTAAACCATTGAGCAATCCCAGATGGAGTTTGGGCAAACCAACATTGTCTGTTGCAGTTTCCTCTTGCTGCCAGGTACAAATCCAGTGCTGTGAGCTGCAGTGCCAAACCTTGCCATTGATAGGGAATTAGCAGAGAGGAGCAAGAAATGGTTTTACTTTCACAGATTATTTCAATACCTGGATTGCAGGTTGAGTGAAATCTTCGAGGTATATAACTTCAGTATAAGGAAAGGAGTATTGAGACATGGAGGGGACATGACCCAAGGAATTCTTCTTGCATTCCTGTGCCATGGGGCTCAGTGCAAATCCAGTAAGCTTTGCTCTGATTCAGAATGATTAGGCTGCTATTACTGCTTATAACCAGGTGCTCACGGTGGTGATGGATTGTCTCATTTGTGTGTTGGAAGGTCTCAATGCATCTGTCCATTACAACATTTCTGAAGGTCATTTGATCGTCATCTGTAATGCTGTTGGCCTCCCAGAGCCCACCATCACGTGGAACAACTTGTTCAATTCTACTCCTACAGAGAAGACAGTCAAGCACCCCAATGGGATAGTGTCCGTTACCAGTAAACTGGAAATCTACAACACTCAGAGTATCAGTGCAAAGGACTTGACCTGCAGAGTGAGCAACACGAATGAAAAAATGGAATTACCTGTGAAAATGAAAAGAGGTAGGTGAAAAATACAAGCAAGTTGTTAGAATTCTCTTGGCCTTCATGTTTTACAATAGCATGTTTGGGTAGGAATCTGCTGGGAAGAGGAGGAAGTGAAATGTGTATATGTGTATATGTCAAGTAAGAAGGAAGAAAATCCTATTTGCATTCATTGTTGTCTTTGAGACAATAACATATTGGAGTCCTATCCAAGAAGAGAAAATAATATCCAAACTAATCAGCTAGGGAGCTATGGGTTTTAGAGGCACCACACATTTTGCAGCAAGTCAAACTTCAGTTATCACACAGACCTTCATAATGTTTTTAACAGCCCAAAAATAGATATAAATATGTCACCTGATTTCTGTCTAGATGAAGTAAAAACTCCATGGGTCACTTAATGCATAGGGAAATGGAAGTTTTGAAATTCATAACAAACTATCTCTGAACCAAATGTTTTAGTTCAGCTTACTACATGTTTTGTTATAGTTAACCTGAGTAATATGCTTTAGTTTCTCTGGTGTTTTTCCTCAGTCTCATGTGCCCTGCAGTAATGGTCAGGGAGGAACAGTATTTTCAGGTATACAGGGAGGTGATTACTTGAAGATACTTCCATTTGTTTTATGCAGACATCTTAAATACATAAATCTAATATCTGAATCTGTACTGTTAATTTATTTCTTCTTTCAACATTCTGTTCTTCTGGAAAGTCCTTCACCCTAGTTCTATAAATGAGAAACAGAAACATTAAAAGCTGAACTGCCATTCTCAGTTAATACAGGAGCATTGACTTGGGTGATTTAAAATTCATGTGTCTCCAAACCCAGAGGCTCGAAGGGAAGACCACTTGGAAATTAGGAAGACATGAAAAACAGCTTGTAATTGTGGGTTAATTCCCAAGTTACATGCTCAATAAGTGATTGTTGCAAGAATAGGAGTAAAGACCTGTCTTTTAATATCTTTTCTCTGAAATTTCGGAAGCAAAATAGTTCTTAATTCTGAATTACATTAATTGAAAAAGCATACTAAGTATTTTTGTCCTGTCTCAAATGCAATATTCTTTTGTTTTGGCCTTTTAAAAAGGAAATGTGTATCTCAGAAAGCAAGAAACAAAGTTTCTATTTCTTGCTAGGATAATGAAAAATGAACAAACAACTTGTTGTTTTAGCAATCTTATATTTCAAAGAAAGAGAAATTCAAGTTAATAGTTCAACATAACTTTGTTAAAAGAAATTATAGTTTAGCCTGATCCAAAAAAATGTTAATTCATAAAGTTTTCTGTCTAATGTTAGTGAACATTGATGTGACTCTTCATATCAGCGTTTTGATTAATGGCAGTCAAATGAAGTGACTGATGTCTAACTAGGGAAGAAATTTATGCTCATGTGTTGCGTAGAGCTATTTGCAAGCATCAAAACATAGCCTGACTTCTTTTCTGAAAATTAGTGGAGCCTTTGAAATAGAGACGTTTTTAACAGTAAAAGGAATGACTTTCATTTTACAAATAAAAAAATTTCTGGATGGACAAAAAAGCTCTACCAGAGGTGTTCAGACTGGTATAAAGTTGTGCTCATGCCAACCACAGTATTGGGTATGGGAATGGAAGTTTTCTTTGCTATGGATGAGCATGAGCACTTCTTTTCTTCACAAAGCATTTTCTGTGGACAAATACTTTTGTCTTTGAAGATACATATGATCACTCTGTCTTTTGAGTAATTGCTGCTTTCATGTATCTTATGTCTCTCACAATATCAGAGGAACCATTGGCATTAACCAAACATCCTCTTGGCTCTTTTTGCTTTTTTTCTCTATAAGGCAGATTAATTTGGTGTATTTTTTGTTGCTTTGTTTTCACAGAAGAGGGAATCTCGTTGCTTTGGCTGACAATTATTGCGGGGATTTTAATTGTCATCATAGTTTTGATTCTGATTATGCTGTTCTGGAAGAAGATAATATGCAGGAGGAGTTGAAGTGGTAAGTCACTGATGTGTAGAAACCAGTGGTTTTTGTAGAGCTCATTATAAGATCTGGTCAGCTGCAGAGAAAGACAAGACTTTGTTGAGATACCAGTGGTGGGTATGAGACTGCTGTATTGGACAAATAAACTTTATAATAATATATTTACGCTTATTAGAAGTTGCCTCTGTCGCATGTAATTTTAAGAGCTGTTTTCCCACTGCTGATGGACAGTACAAGGCTACAAATTATGAGGAGTGGATCCAGGCAGAACAGGATATGCTGCTCATGAATGGCTTTCAGGCAGAAGTCTCAGCAGAAGTAATTCACCCATTTTTCACATTTTCATGGAGACCCACGAAGTGAAAGTGTAGTATGTTCAGACAAATTTTGGCAGAAAAAGTAAGCTGTAGAGAAATCCACTCATGCAGAGTGATGTCCCCTCAAGGGAAGGGCTTTCTTCTGGTCACAGCACCCTCTTTGTATTTTTGAGACAAACAGCATAATATGGTGAAGTGTGCTCTAATTTGGCATGAGCCTGCTTCCTAATGATGAATTAAGGAGAAACTGCAGTCAGTGTAATGTTCTTGCAGGTTGATCATGGATCAACCTAACTTTATAGTCTTAATTGCTAATAACATAATGAAAGGAAAAAAAACCCCAGAGTATGGAGGAGGCCATTAGGCTTCAGAATCACAGAAATCTGATGGCCATTGACAGTTTCACTCTTGTTTAACTAAATCCAATTCTGAGTCTGGATTTAAATTCTACTAACATATTTAGAAATACCGACACACATTTACTCAGTTCCTGAATACTTAGATACTTCTTCATAATGATAATATGATATAAAGTAAATAAATGTTTCCAGGAGTATCAGACCTGTCTATTGTGAACTTAGGCCTACAGCATCTACTATTAAGAGGGTTTTATCTAGAAAATACACTACTGCCAGGGACACAAAAGTCTTTACTGCAGAGAAAGAGAAATGAACACTTCTTACACCCCAGATATAATTTCCTAATTGTAAAGGCTATGGGAGCTTTCCATTGATCCTAGAAACAATTCAGAAGATAAAATTCCTGCTCAGTTTTCAGACCAATCTGGAAGTTAAAGGGCAAGGAGTTGAAAAGGGCAAGGTGTTGATTCTTAAATATTGCTTTTTAAAGGATCAGAAGAAAAAGGTGAAGTGCTCAAAAGAAAGATATATATTTATTCTAGAACAACCATTCCAAACACAAATGAGCTTGTACTAAGCAAACTTGAAGGAGACACCTTAAGGCAAAGATTATTTGTCAGAGTTTTAGGGTCACTCACTAGAGCGAATCAGAGAAAGATCAGGCAAAGAGAGCACTAAAAAGCACAGGTACTGCCTTGCAGAGTTTCAAAGCCCCTTCACTGCATGCCAGATGAATCATAGAATCATAGAATCAACCGGGTTGGAAGAGACCTCAAAGATCATTGAGTCCAACCCATGGTTACTAGACCATGGCACTAAGTGCCACATCCAGTCTTGTCTTGAAAACCTCCAGGGATGGTGAATCCAACACCTCCCTGGGCAGCCCATTCCAATGCCTGACTACTCTCTCTCTCTGTTAAAACATCTCTTCCTAATATCCAACCTAAACCTCCCCTGGCAGAGAATCACTCTGGGATGCTGTGACTGCACTGGTACCTGACATGGGAGCAGTCAGTGAAACATTGCTTGACAAGACTAGGTAGTTCATGTTTAATCTAGGCTGAGGATGTTAACATATCTCCTAGCATGATTCTGGCCCTTAGATATTAGCGGTTCCCCAGGCCATGCCCTCATGTGGGTACAGCAATAGCTTATAACAGGACCATCCTCGGCAGGCTGTAACAGTAGGTTTTCTATGCCCTACACCACCTGCTCAATATCAGTCTTGGAACCCCCAAGACATTTCACTCTTCCTTGTGCCATTTCATGGGTCATGTAAGACACGATTTACTGCTGTGGAGACACGGCTGTGATGCACCAGTGTGCCATTTCATGGGTCATGTAAGACATGATTTACTGCTGTGGAGACACAGCTGTGATGCACCATAACAGAGCCTACACATTATTTTGGAAACTCTGAACGGATTCCCCTCCCTCTGCCTTGTAAGGAAATCATAAGACAGGAAAGCTTAATACGTCTTAACTGAAAGTACAGCCCGTTCTTTAGCTAATGGCTCATCTTGAAGCCCCCCTTGTGTCAGCAACAGAAGTGGGGTCTCATGCCCTGCTGCCTGGGAAGATGTCTAGGTTTCTGGCCCCACATATGTGCTGGTATGTCATAGGGTCGAGACTTCACATAAATCCCTGTTCACTGGGGAGGAAGGGGTAAATTAGATGTGCAGTGTTTAGTAGTCGGTGAAAGTTTGTTGGAACAAAGTTTATCAGCAAAGACAGGATTTGAGTGACTTCAATTGTTTGTGTTCTTTCCCATTTATCATCGGTTTTGATTAACATATGGTAGAATGTGACTTCTGCAGTGAGCTTGTAAGTCATTCAGTCTCTCTTTTTTAATGTAGCCTTGTTTTTACCAGTCTTAGTATGTATCTTTTCAGTTGCTTCTTTCAAAACTCATTGATCTTGAGTTTTGAAAATGTAATCACTGACCTGGATCCTTTTTTGCATAAAGGCAGCATTACTTTATCCAGAGTAATTTTGAGCAGCTGATTTTATTTCTTCATACAGTGACCTGCCTAGAGAAATGAGTAGTCCATAATCCTGACGTACATCTGTTTCCCTGAAGGCCTCATTGATTAGTTTGCTATAAAACTCCAGTAGTGTTGCACTTAGATCACTCTGTCACCATGAGATTTTGACTTTTCTTTTTTTTTTTGTTAGGGTTTTTTTTGTATCCCCAGGATGCTCATTTCTGCCTGTTGCTAAGGGTTACTTACAATTTATCTTGTATATGATTCCACTCTCACTTTCCTGGCTATCCTTAGAATTATAAGAATACCTGCGGAGCTACACTAATTTGTAACACTATGTTTACAATGCATTATCACTCCATGAATACTGTACTGTAATGAGGGAATCCCTTTAACATTCTTAGCTGTGGAACCTAGTCTGGTTTTGTGGTGACTTATTTTTTGCCCAGTCATTTATGAAATGTGTTCATGTTTTTTGAAATATTGGTTGCAGTTAATTGACTCAAAAGACAAGAACACCTTGCAGAAAGCCCTTTTCTGGTTTTATCCTCTATTATCCTCAGATTGTATTGGAATGAGGAACAACGCCTATGCACATACTTCTGGACCTGATTTTTTTCAGCAGCACAATAGAGATACAATAGTGATGGCTGGAGAATACCAATGTCTGTGTGGGGCTTCAATACTTCTTTTCATTCTGCACTACATAACAAACACAGCCTTTCTAGTCTTGTCAAGATGCCCAGTTTTTAAAATAAAATGACAGCTTTTTATCCATGTGGCTGAGGACCCTTCTCTGACAAAGTTGTTTCTGCTCTTGAGAGGGTATGGCTAGTTTTTGCTTTGCTTTTATTTCTGTAGTTTCCTTCCTCTTCATGGTAGATCCTTGGGAATCAGGTCAAGAGCTGGGGCTGAAAGTTGATGTCCCGTCCCTCAGGCTTTTGCCTTGTATATTGTTACAGAGCACACATACGTTCTGGTTCTCCCTGAAAAAATCCCAAGTGAAGTGTCTTCACGATGTTTGGCAAAATGTCACTTGTTTAGAAACAAACTGAGCAGCCTTTGTGGCAAGTGCTAATGCACAGGCTTTGGAAAATTCACATCTTCATCCTGTGCAACGATCTTCAATCCTGTTGCAAGAGAGGCAAACCTAGCTGTGCCTATCACTCAATTTAAATGCACTGAGCAGGTTGCAATGAATCACGAGTTGCAATGAATCATCCATGCTTCAGGTTTCTGGGTGCTACTCTTCTGGTAAAAACTTGCACTGTTTCCTTCCTGAGTCACCTAATCGAGCTTATCTGTAGACCACACCAATGTAAAGTAGTCTAGATAACAAGCCAAGTGTCTGGGTCGAAGCAAACTGAAGATTATTACCCTGAATAAATTCCTGTGACTTACCTATCACTTACATGTCCCTACCTGAACACTTTCCACAGCATCAGTTGCTTGTTTTAAAGCTCACAGGATACTCATATTTCAGCCTGGTTAATCAAAAAACTTTCTAGCCAGTTTTAAGGACCTATCAGCATGAAGGGCTATAAAATTCCATGCAAACTTTCTTTTCTGAAGGCTTGTGGCAACCTGTGGGGAAGGACTATTTCACAAATGGTTATAAAGGCCAGAATGTTAGGGTTTTTTTGGTTTTAAGCATTGCTGTGTTCATCTCTCTTGGGTAGCTTTTGATATTTTGCAATGTACAAAGCTTTAGAAATGCATGTTTGTGTTTAGAAAAACTGTAACAGGACAAAAAATATTGAAACATGTTATTGAATAGATATGATGCAACCTGAGAAAGCTGAACAGATTAGGCAAGCATGGAAGAAGAGTATTTGAAGCCATAGATGAGACTAGGTCAGAGCAAAAAATCTGTTCTGCAGAAAGTGCCAACACAGCAATGGGTTTTTCCTGTTTGGAAATCAAAACATTCAGGTTTTTCTACAAGTGGAAGTTGTATGGAACTCAGACAGAAGCAGCATTAAAGTCATTGTCACTTTATGTTATGGCTTAGTGGGCATAGTAGTATTCAGTCAAAGGTTGGCATTGATGATCTTGAAGGTTTTTTTCCAACCTTAATGATTCTATGGTTCAATGTTTGTGTCTGAATACAGCCAACTATCTGTATTTCAAAGAGATGCTGGACCTCAGTGCACTTCATGGGTTACACAGGTGCTATAAAACAGATTGAAAATAACTCTTTGTTACTAGATGGAGATCACTTAATACTCTGTACAGGAATTTAAGATGCCCTGATTATTATTTTTTTTAAGTTTGGAAGTTGCTATAAGTAGTATAGATGCAGGTGTGTTAAGTTACAGATTGCAACTTGGCTGATCAGCAATAATACCAA